GAAAATTGAAAGCTTCATGGAATGAAACAAAAACCTTTTGACCCTTACTAATATGCACCTATAGAAAGTGCACTTGTGGTGTCTCGAGACAAATGAAGGAGACGCACAGGGAAGAAAAGATATTTGACTTTTTGATAGGATTAGACGAAAGCTACAAAACCATACACTCCCAAATTCTCAACTTGGAGCCCCTGTCGACTATTGGACTGGCTTATGTGATCGCAGCACAAAAAGAGAAATAGTTGACAGTGGCTGCATCATAATCCACAGTGCTCAAAAGAGCTACTTTAATGGCGAGAAACCGAACAATCAATGGTGCAAGGCATGGCAGTGGGCAAAAGGTAGGTGATTGGAGAGACCATCGTGGAAGGGAAAGAACTCGTCCTCGTTTCACTCATTATGACAAAATCGAGCATAGACCCAAGAGAGATCAAACAAAATGTCAACGATGGTGGCTGGGAAGTAGACTCGTGCGTTTGCAGTTAACGAAAACGCGAGACACAAGTCACGGGCCTTGTTCATCTGTGCTTGGGCTCACACAGGCCCAATACCAGCAACTGATGGATCTATTTGGTCGGCAAACAAATAAGTCCAACTTTAATATTGGACTAACAACCAACATGGCCTCAAATGTCCACAATACAAATTTTTCTAATAAATCATCTGGAAAAAACAACTCGTGGATATTTGATACTGGGGTCACAGTTCATATCACTCATCAAATTGACAATTTGTTCAACATGATTAAAAATTCCAATATCCCACCTATCCAAATTTTGAATGGTGATATTGTGCCAGTACATGTTGTGGGCCAAGTGAATCTTGAGCCTAATTTAACCGTGGATAAAATGCTTGACGTCCCTGATTTTTGTTTTAATTTACTATCTGTGAGCAAAATAACTCGTGACTTGAACTGTCTATTCATTTTTAGACCTAATTTTTGTGTAATACAAGGCTTACTCTCTAAAAAGTCGATTGGAGTGGTAGAGTGTGAAATAGATTATACTACTTGGAGCCAATGAAAGCAAGCAAGGTTCTTTTGGCTAAAGGCAAAGATAATGCATTGCTGTGGCACCATCGATTGGGGCGCATTCCTTTGGATCATCTTTCAATATTTCTAAATTTATTTATCACGTACACCGGAAAGGATAACTTTCTTTGCGATGCTCATTGTAGAGTGGAACAAACTATATTGCTTTTCCCAAGTTGCAAAATAAAAGTTTGCATGCCTTTGATTTAATCCACACTACATCTTTTAAAAAGCGCATTATTTTCTCACTATTTTTTATGATTATATTGGAACAACATGGGTTTTTTCTTATGAAGATTGGTCATGACACAATTTAATGCACAAATCAAGATATTGCGAACAAACAACGGTTTGGAATTTAAGCATGAAGATTTGGTGGATCATTATTTTGAGCATGGCATAGAAAGACAAACTAGTTGCACAGACACACTTCAACAACATGGTGTTGTGGAATGCAAACATCGCCATCTCTTAGAAGTAGCACGAGCACTTCTTTTTCAAGCCAACTTTCCCATCACCTTTTGAAGTGAATGTGTACTCACTGCAGCATATATGATCAACTGTATGCCACTCTCAATCATAGACAATCAGACTCTGTATGAGAAATTGCTTGGCATACCTTCGTCATATGATCTTCTCAGATCTTTTGGATGCCTCTGTTACGAACATGTCAACAACAAGCCTTGTGATAAGTTTGCCCATTGGAGTAAACCAAGAATCTTCATTGGCTACCCTTCAAGGCAAAAGGAATATCGCATATATGATCTTGAGAGCAAAGAAGATATATGTTTCTTGAGATATGCAGTTCTAGGAAGAAACCTTCCCATTTGACAAAACGAAAATTAATGATTCAACTATTGAGGGTGCGCATCAACTTACACAAACTACTTCTTTCACTCTATTTGATGAACTATTTAGACACTCAAGACTTGAAAGTACCTTGCAGTCAAAGGCCAATAAGCAATTCACCAATGCTGTAACATTTGGAACAAAACTAAAAAGTCACATCATCAATATACCCCCAATAAGAGTCAACACATTTGGAAAACAACATTGACCAACCTGACGATTCTATCTCTCCTATGATTAAGCCAAATATGGTAATATAATAGAATAGCGTTTCTTCATCACATACAGAACAACATAATGTTATTCCTATCAAACGACAGCAACAAGTATCGAAGCAATTATCTGGATATGATTATATTTTGCCCTCTTCACTTGTTTCTAATACGCACTCTTCCTCTCTTTCGGCCAACTCAACAATATATCCCTTATCTCACAATATTTCTTACTCTAAATTTTCTAGAGCTCCCAATGTGTTCTTAGCTCATAACATTGACGTGATGCCATGGCCAAGGACATATATGCCTTAAAAGCAAATAATACCTAGACTTTGACCTCTCTACTTTCGAGAAAATGAGCCATTGATTCTAAATGGGTGTATAAAATCAAATACAATCTAGATGGAACAATAAAACGTTATAAAGCAAAGCTTGTCGCCAAGGGCTATACACAAGTTGAAGGGGTGGATTTCCATGAAACTTTTCCTCTGGTTGCAAAATTGGTCATAGTATGCTATTTTTTAGCTATCGCTACTGTACGTCATTAGGAGTTACTCCAACTGGGGGTCAACAATACCTTTTTACATGGGGATTTAGAAGAACAAGTCTACATGAAAATACCTCAGGGCTTTGCTAGAAAAAAGGAGCAGCGTGTCTATCGACTCAAGAAATCTCTATATGGACTTCATCAAGCATCACGAAATTGGTATCAAAAGTTCACTAATTTTTTACTAGCCATTGGATTTGTCCAATCGCATGCCAATCATTTTTTATTCACGTGCTCTGCCAAGGAGTCATTTGTTACAGTATTAATCTACGTTGATAACATTATAGTAACAGGGACTGAGGCATTCAAGATTTCCTAACTAAAGGCTTACTTGGATCGCGAATTTTGTATTAAAGATTTGGGCAAGCTAAAATAATTTTTGGGCATTGAAGTGGCACGTTCTCCATCCAGCATTGTCTTGAACCAATGGAAATATGTGCTTGATATATTGGCAAATAGCCACCTCATTAGTTGCAAACCTATTTCGTCACCTATGGACCAACAAGTTAAGCTCGCTCTTGATGAAGGACCACTTTGTTCAGATCCAAGGCAGTATAGAAGGTTAATTGGAAGATTATTATATCTCACCAACACAAGACCTTATATTAGTTTTGTCATTCATGTACTAAGTCAGTTTATGCATTGCCCACGTTAGCCTCATTTCGTTGCAGCTCTATGTGTTCTTAGATATCTGAAAAGGTCCACACACCAAGGTTTGTTACTTCTTGCTAATAGTCAGTTGACCCTAAGAGCTTCTTGTGATGCAAATTAGGTAGGTTGTCCAACAACACATAGGTCAACCACGGGGATACATCATCTTTCTTGGTTCGTCTCCTATCTCATGGCTAACCGAGAAACAGTCAATTGTTTCTCGTTCTTCCACAATAGTAGAGTACAGGGCCATGACTAATACAACAAGTGAGATTGTATGGCTTCTTAGATTATTAACTGACCTTCGAATTTCACACTTATCACTAGCTTCATTATTTGTGACAATCAAGCTGCACTTCACACTACTGCGAATTCAATTTTTCATGAACGTACCAAGCATATTGAGATAGACTGTCATTTCATCAGACAATACATCCAGTCCAAAACCCTTGTTCCATGATCCATCTCATCACAATTTCAGTTGGTAGACATTTTTACCAAAACTCTTGGACGAAATCGTTCCAATGATTTAATGGCCAAGTTAGGCATTACTAATCTTCATACTCCAACTTGAGGGAAAGTAATAAAAGATATTAGAGAATCATGACAGATATCATAACGAAAGATAATGGGGATCATGATAGTTATGTTGGGGATCATGACAGATATGCCTCTTAATTTAGTGATATAATTTCCTGATCTAATTCCCTTAATTTCTTTACTTATATGATGTTACAACCTTTATTTAAGCATTACATTTTATTATACAGATTTTTTTCTTTCTATATTGATGTTATAATTTGTATATAAACGGATAAATATTAATCGAATAAATCATTTAAGAGAGTATTTAAGCTCTTCATAGATCTGACAAAGATCAATGACAAATACACAAAGATTGATAGATAATACTACCTCTAGTTTGAATCAATGTAATCCATGTTTAAGTTTAAAGTTTAATCATTCAAATACACATATTATCCTCTCACTAATCAACGTGCGGTAGTAAAAAGCATGCTTTTCCTTTTCGAATCAGGTCTACAATCTTCAGTTCTTTAATCGAAACATGGACTCTAGCTTTTTCCTTGCCCATTATAAGCGACTACATTTCATTAGCAAAAAGAAAAAGTGACAAGATTTTGCTAATTAACTAGGCAAATCATAGCTTCTAGGATTAGATTTTGGGGTAGGTACATCACCTTTATTAATTTCTTTTTCCCCACTTACTTATGCACAAGAAGTTAATTTAAAGGTGAAGAATGAAAATGGCAGGTTCTTTCCCATTTTCTCCCTACAATTTTTCTATTTTCCTAGCCTGCTTATAACTAAGGATAGAGACCGGATTTAAAAATTACAAGGGTTAATACTGTTCTAGGTTAAAATTAAAATAAATAAATAAAAGAACCATAAAGTATATTAAATTGTTGCTCTCTTGGGCAGGAGGTTCTTTCTACTTCCTCTGTTGGTAAATCTTCGTATGCATTTGGGTATAAGCCAAACCATCTTTGCTAGCTAGTTACTTGGTGGCTATCCCCTTCCATTCCTCTTACGTGGGAGACGTGATCTGCTTCTTTTTGGAATAAAATTCAATTTATTAAATGAAAAAACAAAAACAAAAATAAACTGGGCCTCGTTTTGGATTCGATTATAAGGGTTCAAAATCTAACAGTGTTAGACATGGGCTTACATTGAGCTCAATTTTGCTACCCCAAGTTTCACCATGGCCCATAGAAGATTGGAAACTTGAAATCTACCGTGGAAGTAGCAATTTTTTTTCATCCTCGCACCGAAATTCATCTGACTCGTGTCCTAGCTCAGGCAACAATGGCAGCCGAATCACCTACTTCTGTTCGGAAAGGTCAAAACTATGAACCTTACCCTTCTGATTCGTATTTCGATTTATCAAAATGTTTAGTAGGCTCAAAATTTTGAGTTTTTGAGCTTCTTTTTTATATAATTAATTATTTTTTCTCAATTTCTTTTATTTGGGTTTTTCAATTTGATGCAGTTGTTGTTCATTTGAGAGCAACTGGGGATGCCCCAATACTAAAGCAAGCCAAATTCAAGGTACTTCTTTGATTTTTATTTGCATTAATTTTAATACCCTCGAGAGGTTTTACGGGTTCTCCAGTATAGATTATGGAATAATTTTTTGTGAGGAAAATTGCAATATTGCGCAAATAATAAGATAAATTTATATACCCATCAGAGTTTTGATCTTAAAAATTAATTCTTGATAGCGATTAAATTATTTTTGGGATGATTTTCTAATTAATTCTTAAAGAGATTATGTAAACTGATGAGTTTTTTTTTTTTTTCAATTTTAGGCTCTCTTATTAAAATATGAATTGTATAGGAAAACAACTGGAAGTTTTTTGCAGAAATTTTGCTAGTGTTTTTGTAATGGGCCAGAAATATAATGTAGACAGAGCATCTCGTTTCATTCATTCTTAGACATGCTTCGTGTTTTTTATTTCATTGATTTTTTTTACAGAATCTGCGGCTTGTTTTTCAATCATGTAAAGCACTTACAAACCAATGAGCATGTTTTTGATGGCTTAGGCTTGGACTTGTGACTAGAAGCTTAGTTTAATTTGCACACAAATAAGTTGTACGATTTTTAGTTGATATGATGAAGTGTCGGCACTGGGAATGGAGTTTTGTGCTTCAGTGTGAGACCATTCCTCAAATCATGTTCTTCAGTATGCTTTAGTCCAATGTTTCAAGTTTCCATGTGAAGTATTATAGATAAACTATGCATTTGAAGCCAGATTTTTTCATTCAAACACTTCTTGCATGTCAGGGTTGTTATTTGCTGAAATGTATGTTTCTTATGTTAAAAACTTTTGCCATGGCAGATACCAGGAACTGACAAATTTGCTAAAGTAATTGATTTTTTACGCCGGCAACTGCACCGGGATACACTGGTAATTTATTTTTGTATATTGTTGTTTTGTCAAATTTATTTTTATTTGTTGTTTGCATAGTATTAATTTCTTATCCCTTGTTTTGTAGTTTGTATATGTCAACAGTGCCTTCTCACCAAACCCAGATGAATTAGTGATTGACCTGTATAATGTAAGTCATAATACTTACACACTCTCTCTTGTTGATGTTAGTTCTGTTAATTATTCTTTTGGGAGTATTTATAGATGCTATGTTGTGGAATTGACTTGTTGTATATTCATTCATAGCTAGATTAGCTTAGAAAATTTACTCGTTTGGTGATGCAAAGTGTTGTTGTCAGAACATTGACACAACATGTTTTTCATTTATATAATGATAATGACAAAGATCACTATACTTCCAACTAAATGGCATTAAACTTGGGCGTAGCGTAGATTAACTAATGATTTTGATGGGATCATTTACTGATTGTCTGTGTTGTCTGCATGTATAGAGAAATTTATTTATCTTAAATCTGCAAATATTGCCCTTTATGTAACAATAATGTTTGGGCCCAGAATGGCTGAATCAGATGAGTTTTCACATGAAATGGTCCATTACCTCACAGACTCAATAGCTTGTTCTGTGTATTCTGACAAAAATGTTTATTCAATTAAAGAGTAGATTCTGATTTACATCTAATGCCTACACCATTAGACATTTTGGTTTTTAATTAGAACCCTTGAAGATTATGACTGCTATCTATCAGCTGGCCCACATTGGAATTAAAATGAAGAGAAATTTTGTTACTCTTTATTTGCATAATTGCTGAAAAATGGAGTGAATTTTTCTGGAGGGGAGGATGCCTCTCTGTAACTTGCTTGTGTCTCCCAATAAGTTCAATTTTCACAAGCCACATGCTTTATTTAATTGCTTAGCTGGTCTTGTCTATGTTTCTCTGTTGTCTAACCATAGCCGCCTTTGCATTGCAGAATTTTGGTTTTGATGGTAAACTGGTGGTTAATTATGCCTGTTCCATGGCATGGGGCTAACTCTCTGTGATGGATTTGCTGAGATAAAACTGTTCATTCTGTAATATCACCTGTTCATTTGTTTCCTTCAACAGCTTTTAAAAAAAAAAAAAAGAATTGTTTCCTTCAATTCTCCATTTTGCAGTCCTCATAGAACCCTCCTCTTTAATTTTGCTTGTTTCCTCTTTTTCTTTATCTCTGAAATAATGGTGTTTCTGTAGCAGATACTAACTTCTTACTTCCACACAAACAAGGGAATATTATTGGTGGTATTCTGAACATTCTGATCAAGGAGACATTGATTGAAGCAGCAGTTAATGTGCATCAGTCACTTTGTTTTTTCTTCTTTTCTTTATTTTTTATTTCATTAACATAGCTATACGGTTTGGCGTTATGCATCCTGTATATTCCACCTTGTTTATAATTCAAATCGAGAAAACTTCTCTTGGTTCACATGCTTCAAGTGCATCCTGTGAATTTTTTCTCTGTTGATTGGCGGCAATTGTTGAATGCGTTTGATGCCAAGACAAATTGTCCTTGGTTTGCTTGCTGCGTACCTTTGCTCCCTTCAGAAGTTATTACTCTTTAGCGCTGCCCATCTAATACTAATATCAAATGCATGCCATGCGTCAGAAACTTTATCGAATGTGGTTCCAACTTGTAAGATTGTTGTACCCTTTATGGCTAACGACGTCATAGCTGGGATATACCATCTCAAAGCTGTAGATGATAGTTGAGTGGGAAGTCAGGATTTCATTTACGCTTGACCCTCTGGAGCAACCCTCGCAATTTATTCGACATTTATAGCCCATCATCGGCTCAACTGATCAGGTTTTGTATTAGGTGGGAGCCACTAAAATGTGGGAATCTTTTGCTATTATGTTTTCATGGTAGACAAGTAAACGGCGATGTGATGCACTTGAAGCAGTCATGATTCTGCAGTCATGCTTCTTCAAGCTGAATAGACCGCAAAGATGGACATAAAAGATGAAAATTTCAAGGGGGAATGCAAAGTTGTACTGGTTCTCTCCTGCCGTTGCTTTCAGACTAATTTGAGGTAATATAAACCATAAAATCTGATAGGGCAGGACCCACTGCCAAACACCCAGCACTAGAGGGTTGTGTATCGAGACAACAGAATGGCATTAAACTAAATCAAAACCTTAATGATTAAGTCCGTACTGGTAAAATTTAGCCCCAAAGCAGTTTTGAGATTCTTTACAAGAATCTGTCAGATATGACCCTTTGTCCTAGCTCAGATCTTCTACGGGCCATTAATTATTTCGTTCGTAAGTTGACCCTGGCAAACATTTCGTCTTCTAATAATGTTTTTGTTGGAATTTTTGGTGCTGGGAATCTGAATTCACAATGCATCAGAATAGGACTCAAACGAGACAAAAGGGAATGACCACATGAGTTTTATAGTAAATTGGGATGGGAAGAAGTTTTCAGGAGCAAAATGTGTCTCATATGTGTACTCTGAACATTCCACCAAAATGGTTCAAGTCTCTGCGGAACTGCTTATTTCCAGACATTAAGGCTATCTTCTGATCTGGCCCCAAAAAAGGTTGGGGGAGTGAAATATGAAAAAGTTGCAAGGTTAAAACAACAGGAATAGATACCCACTATTTCTGTGCAATATATAATCTGTCATCATTTGGGTTTAGGAGAGCAGGTTTGATCAAAGAAGTTCACTTGGATGAGTTGCAGTAGCGTGTATCAGATATGGGTTTGCCTGGCAGTCGGTCGTCTCATAGGCTCAGCTGAATGACTGATGAGACATCAATTCTTCTCAACTAAAGTTATTTTGTTTGCTACCATACGAACGTTTGTTTGGGACCAAACAAGTCCCTCTTTTTTAGGCCAAAAGTCTCTTTTTGCTATGGCCTAAATGTACAGCGTTTTCAACTTGCATGAAGCTTTTTGTCTCATCGGATTAATCTGATAAGTTATATTGTCCACAGTATTTCAGACAAAAGCGTTTTCACTTTTATTTTAACTCTTTCTTCCCAACCACTTCTGTCGTATACAGAAAGAATCTCCATACCCTTTTGAGACCTTCAGTCCAAAACTACAGTACATAATCGCTTTGCTCTATCCTCCCCATTTGCCTTCCTAATTAATCTTCTCTCTCTCTCTCTCTCTCTCTCTCTCTCTCTCCTTTTTTCTTTTACTTTGGTCTAGAGAGTATTCGGTATCAGCGTGGACAAAAAGAAAAAACTCAAGGATATTCTCTGCACTAAGTGATTAGGAGCAATCAAAAGTGTCGTGCTGCTGTTTCACTATTTGAGCAACTAGGAGAGCTGACACAAAACATGAACCCTGCCAAATTCATGAATAGCAAACAAGTCTTACAGATAAACTTGGATTGCATTGAATTCATGATCATGGAGAAAGAAACAAATCTTGCACCTTCCATAAAGTTCAATTAAAACCCTCATCAACTTCAAGAAATCTGCTCATCCACTCCAAGTTCAGGGGATCCTCATTCGAGAAATCAAAGAACTCATCCACATCAAAGCTGATATTTGAGTCCTCACCTTCCCTAGATGTGTTCTCTTCCCTCACTTCTTTGGCATTCTCCACTACTCTCTTTTGAGCTTTGCAGCCTTCTCTTGTTGTAGCTCCACTTTGTTTCTCTTTCTGGTTTATTTTCTTGCTCAAATGAGAATTCCAATAGTTCTTGATCTCGTTATCTGTTCTTCCTGGTAACCTTCCAGCAATCAAAGACCACCTGAAAAGAAAGCCATCAGATAAATAAAGATGTTCAATCATTAATATCAACCTGGAAAATATTGCTATCGTCCAAATTCATGTTTATAATTCTGGGTCAACCTGTTTCCAAGGAGTTTATGAAGCCTCAGTATCAAGTCCTCTTCTTGGTCTGATATATTTCCTCTCTTAATGTTCGGCCTCAGATAATTCATCCATCTCAGCCTGCAACTTTTACCACACCTATTTAAGCCTGCCAAAAAAGAAAAAGCGCACACCCATCAAGTCTTAAATCAATAAAATTGGCTTTAATCAAGGAGTAGGCTATATATATATATATATATATAGTACTAGTCACATGAATAATTTGCTACCTGCTTTAATTGCAATTATCTTCCACCTTTTAGCACCATGAACTGCAATAACCTCAGCCAATTTTCTATCTTCTTCTGCTGTCCATGCCCCTTTGTTGACTTCTCTCTTAGGGGACACATTTTCTTCCATTTTAATGGTCTCGTCTTTCAGAGGAGCCATCGTTTCTTCTGGTTGAGTGCTTTGATCGGAAAGAGAGAGAGACAAAGACGGAGGAATTGGATTGAGGTAGGGAGACGTATGTTACTTATCTAGAAAGATTTTCGGGGTCACTGTGTTATCTACCCTTCTAGGTGTTGAAGAAGAACCTCAACTACCACCTAAATACGTGGACGTATATATATATGTCTGTGAAAGATAATTTATGAGCTTCGGCCTTTGCCTTTGGCAGCAAACCTCATAAAAAGCACATCGATGATGGCTTTGATCATTGAGTAATAAGAATGCTGTAAAGTTTGTACAAGCTGCAGGATTCTATACAAAGGCTGCTGCTAGACAGCCATTTAAAAAAAAAAATTAAAGAAGAGAGAGTATTTACATAATACTCTATGCATAGTGCGCCTGTGACTGCTTTTAGAAAAAGAAAGAAAAGATGACATTGGGCATCGGGTTAAAAATGTCTACAAATCAGAGGGCTATGGAGTAGTAATCAGATCACCATGCATTCGCAGTTTGTCATCTAGTTGCAAATGGAGGGTAATTTATCATCTCAGCAGTTTTTCTTTAGCATGTGCAAATATATTAAAGTATGTGAAAAGCATTAAGTTTTATGCCAAAAGGTCTAGTGACAAAAGGGTGAACCTATGGATAGAGAACTAGACAAGGAGGTGAATACAATTATCATATATTAAAGGTAAGGAGGATAGTTTTGTCTTTAAAGGATGTGCTTTTCAGAGCCATGAAACAGAAATAATCCTTAATTAAGTGAGTGCATAAAGAATAATTGTCAATAATTGTGACTGTAATTAGTAGTTAGACTCAGCTAAGGCACCTTTATTGTTATTAATTATTTGGCTTTCAGCATTGCTTTGAAGTCTCTGTCTTGACTATGTTCCAAGACCCATATGACTATGGCATGAATAGCTATGCTTGCGCCCTATCAAAATAATCCCCTGGTAGCTACCTACTTGCTCATCTTGTTCTCCTTTTTTTTTTTTTGTAATTTATAACCTTAATATTATGACCAGGAAAGCTTCAAAGATAACCTTCAAATAAAATATAAGTTTATGGAATAGGAATAAAATCTAACATATGTGAATTTATGGTCTCTTATCCTTAGCTACGTTGACCTCTTTCTCTTCACTTAATTAACCTATTTAAATGTTTGAGATATAAAAATTAGTATCATGTATACACCAGGAAGAAAGCCACCACACCCAAATTTCTAATTTCTTAATGAAAACGTTTTGACTATAGCTTTGGTCTTTGATTTCACTTGCGACTATGCGTGAGTCATTACATAAGCAAATTACCAAATTCTTTATCTTTCTGTTTATACTATATTTTCTACTCAAAATTAGCATGTGTCTTCTTATTAAATATAAATGATAAAGAAGAATAGGCTTAACCCCAAAGTGGAATTAGGTTAGGGGTTAATTTTTATTTAAGTGGTTAGGTGAAAAACAAAAGAAAGTGATCAGTGATCATCGCTGGTTAACTGCTTGGACCAAGAATAATGGTGTGTGACAGACCAAGTAGATTCTGCTTGCATCCCTTTAGCTAGTATATAGCTAATAGTTTGGAACCTTGTGGCATGCTGGATCTTCTGAAATGGATGAATTCATTCGACAGATTTCTATGGATACATGCTCTTCTTGACTCATAGGAAGAAAGGGGAATAAAATGTTAAATAATAGTAAAGTTCTGTTACTGATCTGAAATCTTTCAATTGATATTATTCCATTAATCTTCAGCAACTGATCTGTCACATGCATGACAACATTTTCATGGTGCCAGTCTCTCCAACACTGAAAGAGAGAAAGATCACATGCAATGTGTAGGGGAAAGAGCAAATATTTCATAATTTATTTAAGTTCGATCATCAGTTACCGAAAAGATTGGATTAATTTGTGATTAAAAGACATGGAATAACTAGAGAACAAAAACCATAGTGTACTAGAGTTTAGTCTGCATAAATCCAAACAAAGATGCCTTTAGTTTTATCTATATTTAATTAAATATGTAATTGCATGCATTTATGACAAATGCAGATAGGGACCTCTTTCAACTGTGTGTCGAAGATCTTTTGCGCCCTAATCTAACGCAAAAAAACATGCATTTATTTAATGATTATGCCCAGCAAACCAATGGGAATTAGCCCCTTAAGATGCTGACAGGAGAACTCCACTTGGGCTTGCAAGGAAGTAAAAGATTCCAAGTACATCAGGCATCGGCAATTCTGCAGATGTTGTAGAAGAACCTTATATATATACAAAACCTCAATAATAACTGCACCAAAAATTAAATCATAGAACCTTTGATATATGGAGCCGTCACAGCACCTGAAGTTCCATAGTCTTTCACATCTTTCACATCCTTTGAATACGAAGTACTTAAAAGGGATTTCAAATCATATATACATAATTATGAATCAATTATGTCTCATAGCTCAGCTACAACAATCTTTTCGAGCCTTTCTTTCTCAACTAACCCATCACTTTATTAATAAAAAAATTCAAAATTTTTCAAACAATTGATGGAGAGAGACAATCCCCGTTGCTTGACTACTCCGTACAGGTGGAATGGCTGTGAAGCTATAAACCTTCATCTATGATACAACACAAGAAAGAAAAGGTAGAAGGTGCTGTATATAGCTCTCATTTGATGTTGGACACGTCTTCATTAATGCATTAATGCATTATTTCTCAAACCCTAGGGTAAAGGAGCACATTGATATTTGGAATCATAGCTGCTACTTTTTCTAAGGGAATCAAATCAAGGATTATAAAATCCTATAGTAGCTTGAATTTATTTAATCTCAACGATGCCATGTTGCAATAGACTTAGAGCAAATGATTTTATAATACTAGCAATTAGTCTCTTAATTTGGTAAGTCAAATTAAATTAACCATGCTCTTAATTTTTTGAAGAAGTTTTCTAGATTATCACGAAATGATAGGCTTTTTCTAGCTTGTTACATTGCAGAAGTTATGTGGTTGGGGAGCTCATCTTGTGGATAAGATTGCAATGGCAATAAGAATACTGTAATACTAGTTTATAGTATCTGCCGAAATTGAAGTCATTTTCAATCCTAGTACAGCGACAGGGTCCTCTGTCAATTCCCCATTTCTGTTCCTCCCGACTAGTTGAAGGAAAGCTTTTCTATTTTCCCATTTCCTCCTATTCCTTGGGCTCTTCCTTGCTCATCAAAGATTAACCCATGATCCTTGGATCCATAAGATCTCTTTTGACATGGACTCCTTGGTGGAGCCCAACTACTTGGACAGAGAACCTACCCCTAAGCTCTTTGCCATTTTTTAACCTTGAACCATTTTGGGCTTTTTTTTTTTTAAGTTCAACCTGCCATAGCGGAAGTCTCAAATCCACCTAGAAACTTACCAAAGCAAAACACCCATATCTGGTCAGTCTCCAACATGTTCAAAATTTGGCAGCGAGTAGACTCTTGACCCTACGCTGCTAGTGTACTGTGCATTGCATTGCATTTTGCATGCCACCAGCGTTACGTGGACCAATTGTTGACAAAAGCCCTTAAAACAATTTTAGCAGAGATTTGCTGCTCTATTTCCCCTGGACCAGGCTATACTCAAATCCTGACGGTCCATCAAAATCCCATCTAATTTTCAATGGACTCATCAGTGTGGGAAATTTGAGAATCCATGGGTCACCGTTGTAGCAAACCGGGGCTAAAAATGCTTAGCCATATTCCAATTTTCTTCTTTTGTCGCCATAATAATATAAATATTTATGTGATGGCAACCCCTGCAAAAACTGAGAAGGAAATGAAAGAGAGGCACGAAACCCAACGCAACCATTAGCAAAACAGATGCAGATACAGTGCTGAGAATATAAGACGAGAAGAGCTTTGTTTGTGTGAAGAAAGTTTTCTTTTTTTTTGAAGTTTGAGCTCTTTAAGATCCAATTACTACCCCCGCACCCAAGTAACAGTGAAAGAAGAGAACAACATCACTCAAAACATCTTTATTGAGGGACAAAACAGAGAAAGAGAAAGAGGAGAGAGGGAGAAGTCTCTCTCTCAATTGTTGTAGTGTTTTTCTAGAGAAGGGTGTAACAAGGAAGAGTAATAGATTGTGTTGATAAAAGGGTTTCATCATCACCATCATCATCATGAGTAACTGGTTGGGGTTTTCTCTGACTCCACACCTAAGAATCGATGAAAGCTTTGGCAGAGAAGACCATGGAGGTTTCTCTTCCGTCATGCCTTTGCGTTCCGATGGCTCTCTTTGCGTTGTTGACCCTTTTCGTCGCTCCTCTAACGGCGCCGAAGGTTTTTGCTTCGTTCCTTTCTCTCTAGTATCATTCACCATGGAAATAATACTATGTAGTATATTGGTACTTTAACTTTGCAGCATGCATGTTTCTGTTTTAATGGTTAAATTTTTGTTGCATGGGGGAAAAGTCTCTCTTTGTTTTCTATCTTGCTCATGTTTGGGGTGTATATACTTGAAAAGATCTAACAACAAGAAATGGGGACCTCTTTCGCTTTCTTTTCCAACGCCTGATTTTGTAGATTGGAGATATGAAAACAATATTGGCGGTGCAACTGAAAGTGAGGACGGTCCCAAACTTGAAGATTTCTTGGGGTGTTGTTACTCAAACTCTCCATCTGAGGAGACCAAAGGTTATGGCCAAACCCAAGAGGACCAAAACCAAAACATTGTTTCAACTAGAATCAATGTCAATGTAGCACCAGGCTATAACACTAATGGGGGTATGGAAGGTGGAGAGACTTTAACAAATCCATCTTCTTTGATCCAAACTTACCAATACAACGAAAACCCTCAAACCCTAATGGCTAATGACAGCCTCCAACAGTGTGACCCAAACCCTAACCAGAACCATAACCATAACCATAACAATGGCATGTACCATGTGCCTTTCGAGAGTGCAACTTCGGTTTCAGGGTTCAAATCCTGGTTGAGACAAACGCCATTTTCAGATGGGAAAGCTTCGAGTGAAGCAAGTAATCATTGCAACTTTCAGACACTCTCCCTTACCATGAGCCCAAGCTCCCAAAATGGGACGATGGCTGCAATTGCGCCATTGGAAGGGGTTGATAACCGTAAACGACCTGTTGGGAAGAGCCTTGCCAGAGAACCAGTTCCTCGCAAATCTATTGATACTTTTGGTCAACGAACTTCTCAATATCGTGGTGTTACGAGGTATTTTACCTTTCGACTTTCGTTGATATACGTCTTTCAAGTATAGAGAATTAAGTTGTTTTTTTTTTCTTTTTGATAACGATATATTGTTGTTTAAAGGCATAGATGGACCGGAAGATATGAGGCTCACTTATGGGATAATAGCTGTAGGAAAGAGGGACAAACAAGGAAAGGGAGGCAAGGTGAGACTTGAGAGGAGCATAAGATTCATTTCAATAATAACTGTTGTTTTTCTTTTCTCTTTTATGTTTTTTGTTTACCGATTCTTTATTTTTATTTTTTCATTTTTGTGGTTCCTGGAAAGAATATACTAATGCTTATGTTTCATTCACTTTCCTGGTTCTCTCATCCTTCGATTCTCTGCAGTTTATCTTGGTAAGTGAACTCCCATATCCTTTTGCCTGTCTTTTCTTTATTAAACATTTAAATGATTTTTAACTTTTTATGGAGTATGTAACTAGAAGAACAAAGAACATTGGGTTCTGTGCAGTGTTTTTTTAATGGTTTATTCTTTTTGTTTAAAATTTCTATGATCAGGCGGTTATGATAAGGAAGAGAAAGCAGCAAGGGCTTATGACTTAGCTGCTCTGAAGTATTGGGGTCCAACAACTCATATAAATTTTCCTGTAAGTTCGTAGCTGAACTACAATGTTCTTTGCATTGGGTTTCGACAGTTTATTTTATGGGTCAAGTACCAGCCAGAATCATTTATATATTATTTATAGTATTGTATAAGAAAGTATACTGTCCTTTTAGTTGAGTACTTACGAGAAGGAGCTGGAAGAGATGAAGAACATGACCCGTCAAGAATTTGTAGCTCATTTGAGAAGGTACAAGTCTTCTACATTTAAATTCAAAGATGAAGGAAAAGAAAAAGGACAGACAGACAAAGGACGTTGTAACGTTGATTAACATGTTACTCTTTTGACAGAAAAAGCAGTGGTTTTTCGAGAGGAGCTTCAGTGTACAGAGGAGTGACAAGGTAATGGCAAGAAAACGACCTCGATGATAAAGTTTCCATTATTTACTGCATTTTGCAGCCTTTTCAATTATAATAGACAATAATAGGCAAACATTATTATATAAATTCAGATGATCTCAGTTCTCAAATGCGTATACCTGGTACGTTATTTTAAATGCCATCCAACTTTATATCTATCAATCTTTCCTCTTACGTGTCAAGCTCTCTTCTTTCTCTGTGTAGGCACCATCAGCATGGAAGGTGGCAAGCTAGAATCGGAAGGGTTGCTGGAAACAAGGACTTGTACCTTGGAACATTTAGTAAGCTTCAGTTCCTCTTTTTCCTTCTTTAACTTTTGGTTCATTGTTTAGAAATTGTCATGTCTCAACTTCTCTCATAATTGTTCAATTAGTTCAGTTATTATAGACTTTGAAGTTAATGATTATAGGTTTCAGGATTGATGGTAGAAATAATTTGAAGAACCAGTTCAATTGGGTTAATAAATAGTGTCATCCGAGTTGAGAATCATTTATGATGGAATCAGATCCAGTTGATCTTCAATTCTTGCTTTAAGTTTCTTGAACTGTCCCACCAGCTCATGTCAGTGTTTCTTTTATTTTGTTTCCCTTACAATCTCCTTTATACTGCACGGCTAGGTAATTCAAAGACATGCTTTGATGAAATTGGCAGCTGGATTATAATTTTGTCCTTCACTTTTTATCCATAAAATTTAATGTAGTTAAGCTGTCAATTCCCAAAAAATCCTAACTGTGATATGCAATAATAGGCACACAAGAAGAAGCAGCTGAAGCTTATGATATTGCTGCAATTAAGTTTAGGGGGACAAGTGCTGTAACCAACTTTGACATAAGTAGGTATGATGTTAAGAGAATTTGCTCAAGCTCTACTCTTATTGGGGGTGACCTTGCAAAACGCTCACCAAAAGACTCTGCCCCGATTGCTCTCGAGGATTATAATTCGTGTGCTTCATCAACATCAGCTCAACCGCTTCTAGCTATATCAAACGGTGAAGCATCTCGCGAAGTGGCTGACATGGTTTGGAATGCAAATTCAGATGATAATCGGCAGTATCAAAGTAGTAACACTAACAATGACGCATCCTTGGCAACTTCAAATGGCCGTAATTCCTCTAACCCCCAAAGTCCAAAATGCTCAGTTGGATTAGCTAGTGAGTTTGGCATTGGTGGAGACTACACTCAAGGCTACTTCTCATTAGAGGGTCCAAAGTTCGAAGATGGCAGCAATGGGACTGAAAATTCAAATGAAAACCGGCTGGGGAGTTTGGGTATGGTTCATCAGGTTCCAATGTTTGCGCTTTGGAACGAGTGAGATGCAGTCAATTGTTTAAGAATTTGAGAGGCACTGATTGATGATAGAGAAGTGGTTTAGTTTCAGCATAGAAAACTAGAAAGAGGGTAGGATATGTCACACAGAATAGAATGGATTCAATGGTCTTTAGATGTTTTGGTTTCAATATGAATTCACCGTTCTCTACCTTATCAAAGTATAATGGAAAGGTGAGGCCTTTAGTTTCGTTAATTTTGCTGTCTTGATGACCCCATTTTTTGACATTTATAGCGTTAATGCCAGATTACCAAACTCTCAAGAAAACATGGGTGATTTTCATGGTATCCTAATACACCCTAGCAAGGAATCTAGCGAAGTTGAAAGGAAAGGAATACAGAGCTTGAAGGGAAGGACGTGTAATAGCCGAGATGCTATCTGACGAACCACCAATTATTGTTCTGTTTTGTTACGTTTATTCTTTTGTTGGCTTTGATTATTTTTAAATTTCTTATTAATTAAACAATTGGATTTTTTGACGTAAAAAAGACAAAATTAAAAAAGTAGCGGCTGAGAAAAACCAAAGGATTGCCTGGTGGAATGCTCAAAATTCATTTCTAATGCCGTTCAGCTAGCAAAAGGTCCTTTTCTGTCGTAAAACAATCACAGGCTCACAGCACCAGTACCACAAAGCTTGTAGGCAGAGTAACAGCTAGCAGGCGGGCCGGCCAGCCAGCCCTTGCTTGTCTAATCTGAATCTGTCAATAATTGTACCAAGATTTGGGATTGATCTCGCCTTCCCCGTAAATATGGTTAAGTGGAGGGTAAGTGTTCGAAAGAACGGGGCAACAGAGGATTAGTCCTCATGTATAATTAACATGAGAAGGGAGATGGGCATAGTCAAGTTGCTGATATATGTTGAGTAACAAGTCAAAACTGGATACCTACTTTGACCGAAGATTAGGATTTTGTTTTCCATCGGGACTAGCTTTGATTCGTTTGACAATCCAAGAGAGAGAAATTAAGCCAAGGGGTGTGCGGTGTGCCTTAACTTGCGTGCCTTGTAGCTTTATTCTTCTCTCTGTGCGGTGAAGTTAGCTTTATTCTGTATTTGAACAAAAGAGAGAGAAAAGCAACAGGCTAGCCTTGTTCATTGCTCGACCCACCCCCACGCCCTCTTGCAGCTACGCTATTTCACCTCCAACCAGGCGACAAAAGCTCGTCTAATGTGGGTTCTGGCTGGCTCCTCTGATTTTTGCCACGTTGGGGAAACATTGAAATCACTGTTGTTTTGTCCTACTTTACCAAAGAATAAATTTATATATATATATAAACGGTTAATGTATTTTTATTTTTCATATTGTTTGCGAATAATAAGAAAGAAAGAAAGGCTATGTTTGAAGTTGTAATTTTGTACATCGAGTGCATGAGGATGAGATGGATAGAACTATTGCCAGAGTCGAAAGATGGGAAATATAGGGATTTCGGTGATTTAATTTGGCATACCAAAGTTGGAGTATATGTACGGACTGAGAGAGTGTTGCAGGCGGAAAATTTAGAGATAGATTCGGGGCAGAAGGGGGATCTACATAAATCTAGCAGAAAAAAAGGAAAAACTGGCAGAGATTTCCCCATTCACAGTAGAGGAAGAAGAAGACAAAATCCGCAGGACAAGACACTTCATGCAGAGACATTTCCCCGTCAAACTCTCCCAAACACAATCTACAACCTGGAACATCTATGTAAATCTTAGTAGATTGTAGAGCTAGAGCTAGCTAATAGTGCTAGATGAAACGGATTACTGTTACATATATACACATAAGTTTCTGGGTGTAAGGGGGTAGGGCTAGGATTCTAGGTATAGCCGTCTAGGGTACTTTCATTTTGCATGGTTTAGTTATGATCTGTTGAAATTAGTAAGACTTTAGCCAGCCATGGGTGTTACTTGCTCTGTGCTTTTGGTTCTGATTTTGACAGGTCATGGCTATGGCACGCTAATAGTATTATAATAAATATTGCGTGAAACCCATTTGGCCACTTTGTTTTTACTCGACTTGTTTTTTTGGGGGGTTGCATTGTCCTGTTTACATTCATGATGAAGATAAGAATTGGATAAGATTGATTGTTCTCAGTTATGCACTAATTGACCGCTGAGAGCTGCTTGGAAACCAGCATTTCCAACTCAGACGTCAGAACCCTTGAATCAGATTTCGAAATCGGTAAATATAAAGGGCATGGAATATATCGTTTCCATTGCAAAAGGATTAACAGGTTTCCAACTTGATAATTCAGTTGATATAACTTCAACTAGTAGTTACTCATCCACTAATGCTGTACAATTTGAGAAAAATGCATGTGAGAGAGCAGTAAGTATAAATTTTTTTTCCTTATTGAAGAAGAGAATTCAAATTTTATATTTTAAATAAAAGATAATATTTTAATTAATAAATCAAATATTCATATACAAACAGTAAGAATAAACTTGACTTATGTTACTTAAATATTAAAAAAAAAAACCTAAGAATATAGTGCCCCAAATCGTTTACCAACGGATAAAAGGCATCCAATGTCCAAAAAGCAACAAATTCGTAATTTGTCAAAGGACAAAATTTCCTTCTTATAGACACCTCGCATGCCCTTAGCCAGTTACTGAATACAGGCATCTAGTAGAAACATAGCATCGATTTCCAAGGCACTTGTTAATCATAATGCAAATCTATGAGTTTGCCTTCGAAAGATGGAAGGGGAAGAAACGCTTTTGGCCCATCCCTCCATTTATTTTCTAATCCTTGGCTGTCTCTGCAATTCCAACACCTTCACAAGCTGTCTCTCTTTCTCTCACATACAAAATATTTAACATATATGAATGGACGAGCCAATGAGTAAAACTTGGATATGCAATGACGGGTTTGCCATTGACACAATGAAACAATGACATCGCTTTTAAGGTCTTTATTGTGGTCGAAGCTTTTGCCAAGAGGGTCATTGATGAGACAAGAGCAACCCCTTTGCCTTAGATCCTTTGGGTTTTTCCTTTTTCTCTTTTTTTCCCTTCTTCTTTTGAGGTCAATTTCTAAGGGGGTGAAGGACAGTTTTGTGCTGACAAAATGTGGAACACTGTAAGAGACTGCGGTGCTGCGGCTGGTGACACTGGATCCGGCCAAACATGCTTCTTGCTCTAGCTGCACAACACTATGCACCAAAGGGCTGCTCCTGCTCCTGCTCCCGCTCCATCTCTCTCCCATGTGACCACGCTCTTTTTCTAGAGGTGACCTTTCCCTGCTCAACATAGTCAAAAGTTCAGTGAATATTGCTCAGATATCAGTCACAAAAAGAAACAGAAAATGAAAATTGAAATCGACAAATTTATGTATAGGTATTTTGAGTTTCTACTTTTAATGTACAATTTGTATTTAGTAGTGTACAAAGAAAATTCTACCACTTAAAATGGCTAAGCGAACAGAACATTGTTGGTACATTTAACTTGTTTTGGGCTTACCTTCTAACCTTTAGGCTGCAAGTCCAGGAGACTGCCAGTGCCCATAGTCCCAGGCTTCAGAATCAACTCTGTACATCTTCACTCACCCGTCGACCTAATTATGTTTTTGATTTAATTGGATAAGATATACGAATATCACCAAACTACATCATAATAATTGTTCAACACATAGCATTGATTTTTTGTAGTAGAAGTTATGGTCTTACTTCCATCAAAGAGGTTGCGAGTTTAACTAACCGTTAATCGCAAAAAGTTACATATCTTTCAACACAAGGATCTCACTCCATCTAAACCATCAAACAGATTCGTTTTCCTCCAAAACAGCCCAAAGAGGAAACATGCAACATAACATAAACTGTATAAGTATGACTTGATTCTTTCTTGTACTACTCTCATAGATTTGAAATCCGATTTTGATCAGCTTTTCAAACAAATATAAGGTCAAGTGCATTATTATGTTCTAAACTTTTCTAAAAGTGAGTCCTTGAGATACAGAGACAGCGCAGATTTTTCTTCCTTTGGAACTTATTGATATGGAAATTTCTCATGCGTGGGAAAAGGGCAAGAGACCTCCAAGCATATGTCCCATACCAAATGGAGAAAGATATTGGTGGGGCAATGGGCATGTGACCTAATTTGGGCTGATTTTTATAGGGTACAAACGAGGATCAAATTACTTATGGACCCTGGTTTCACACCCTGAAGTCCAAAAAACCACGATTAAACTTAAGGAGATGGGTCGACATAATCCTGGCTCCTTGAGAGGACAGAAAAAAAAGAAGAAAAAGAAATCCATCATGGCCGTTGACAACATATCAACCAAATCTTGATATCCCTTCATTTCATTTGTGCTTATTGTTTTTTCCCCATTTATCTCTGTCCTCTAAAGGAGACAGGTCTTAAGATTCTCTCTCTATGTAAATCAATCACCCAAAATTAGCCCCCAACCGTTGAAGCCCGCCTAGACTCTCTGTCTCTATCTCTCTCTTGCTGTGTCATATCTGAGAAGGTGGAAAAACAGAAAGGTAACAAAAGAAAGCCTTTAATCTTTCACCAATGCGTTTTCTCAACAACCTGTTTGACCCATTCCTGTTATGACTCTGCTTTTTTGGTATTTGTCAAGAAATTAAGAACATCCTTCAAAAAAACTCAGGTTCGTTGCATAAGCCTGAAAATGTCTCCCATCCCCTGTTTTCTTCTGCATCTTCACAAAGGAAGGAATCAACCATAGGGGAAATAACTGAATTTTTTGATTCATTACCTAGATCCTTCAAAAAAGGGGAAGGAATCACTTATACCCTGATTTAAGAAAGAGCTATCCGTTTTAGGCCAAACCCTAAA